TATACTGTGTCTGAGTGGGGTATTCATGTTAAACTGCGGCATGGTATCTCAGTGTGCACACACATACACTTGCATGCACGTCGCTATATAAGTGCAATAATCTTGGACGCGACGTTAAACCCCATTTCACCTCACCTCACCTATAGTGTTGTGATACAAGTACAAGGCAGTTTGTCAGTGTGTCTGCTGCACCTAATGTCTACCTATATCCCTAAGCAAGTAATGTTGATCATTAAATCAATCTAACGATGTATAGAAGGCTATGAGGTGTCAGTGACAGATGCAAGATCTGAAGAGGCAATGTTGTGTGATCTGTAAAGATGTCCGCGACAACACTGGCAGAACACAGAGAAAGCTATAATGGATATGGTATGTGATGACAAGCCCTCGTGGGCTTCCAGGATGAGGTTCTCCACCACCTTGTGTTTTTCCCCAGAGTTGACTAAGTGAGCATGTGATGGCCACAATGACTTCTTTGTTCAGAGTGTCAGTGGCAGCGAGGAGGGATGATATTGGCCCGTGCATGTTGTTGTATTGACAAAGTTGATGTAGTCATGGCATAGATAGTAGGGCGGGGGTTGGGGTGCAGAATGTATATTACAGGTCTAGATGTCACTCTAATGTTCTTTACTATTTGTTGTTGTGGCTAGATATCACACCAATGTTCTTTACTATCTCTTGTTGTGGCTAGGTATCACACCAATGTTCTTTACTATCTCTTGTGGCTAGATATCACACCAATGTTCTTTATTGTATATTGTTTGGGGTCTAGATATCACACCAATGTTCTTTACTATCTCTTGTTGTGGCTAGGTATCACACCAATGTTCTTTACTATCTCTTGTTGTGGCTAGGTATCACACCAATGTTCTTTACTATCTCTTGTTGTGGCTAGATATCACACCAATGTTCTTTATTGTATATTGTTTGGGGTCTAGATATCACACCAATGTTCTTTACTATCTCTTGTTGTGGCTAGGTATCACACCAATGTTCTTTACTATCTCTTGTTGTGGCTAGGTATCACACCAATGTTCTTTATTGTATATTGTTTGGGGTCTAGATATCACACCAATGTTCTTTACTATCTCTTGTTGTGGCTAGATATCACACCAATGTTCTTTATTGTATATTGTTTGGGGTCTAGATATCACACCAATGTTCTTTACTATCTGTTGTTGTGGGGCTAGATATCACACCAATGTTCTTTACTATTTGTTGTAGTGGGGCTAGATATCACACCAATGTTCTTTACTATTTGTTATTATGGGGCTAGATATCACACCAATGTTCTTTACTATCTGTTATGTGGGGCTAGATATCACACCAATGTTCTTTACTATTTGTTATTGTGGGGCTTAAGATATCACACCAATGTTTTTTTACTATTTGTCATTGTGGGGCTAGATATCACACCAATGTTCTTTACTATTTGTTATTGTGGGGCTAGATATCACACCAATGTTCTTTACTATTTGTTGTAGTGGGGCTAGATATCACACCAATGTTCTTTACTATTTGTTATTGTGGGGCTAGATATCACACCAATGTTCTTTACTATTTGTTATTGTGGGGCTAGATATCACACCAATGTTCTTTACTATTTGTTGTAGTGGGGCTAGATATCACACCAATGTTCTATATTATTTGTTGTAGTGGGGCTAGATATCACACCAATGTTCTATACTATTTGTTGTAGTGGGGCTAGATATCACACCAATGTTCTTTACTATTTGTTATTGTGGGGCTAGATATCACACCAATGTTCTTTACTATTTGTTATTGTGGGGCTAGATATCACACCAATGTTCTTTACTATTTGTTATTGTGGGGCTAGATATCACACCAATGTTCTTTACTATTTGTTATTGTGGGGCTATATATCACACCAATGTTCTTTACTATTTGTTGTAGTGGGGCTAGATATCACACCAATGTTCTTTACTATCTGTTGTTGTGGGGCTAGATATCACACCAATATTCTTTACTATCTGTTGTGGCTAGATATCACACCAATGTTCTTTACTATCTGTTACTGTGGGGCTAGATATCACACCAATGTTCCTTACTATATATTATTGCAGGGCTTAAGATATCACACCAATGTACAGTGGAAGCAGTCCAATTTGGACTCGTTTGGTAAAAAAGTCTGCTTTATGGCGAGGTTCAGATTACACAGAGTATAAAAAGTTGGACCTCAGGATTGAATGTCTTCCCGAACGCATGCTGATAGTCTTCACTACATTGAAGAATATCCGAGACCGTCTAATCTTTCTGGTTGGGTTTTGGCACTGACTTAAATTTCTCAATTAAAACAACTTCCTTGGCAAGTGTAAGTTCGATACACCTATTCTTTGCTGGCTGCTCAGCCATTGCGATTGACAATGACAAGCTGTGTTTAACGTTATTTATTGACATGCTCATGACACTGAATTCATGATATTGAGCTTTCTCATAAACAGGTGAGTAAATTCTAATTAACTAAGCTGATAACAAAGTGTTGAGGTCAATAGGATTACATGCAGGATAAGCATTGATGTTTTAGCTCACAATGACTGAGCTTACTTCAAAGTGAAAGAATATCAGATCCAGTCCGGTCTGGCCCAATCCGATTTAGACAGCTTCTTTCCAATAGTAAATCGGTTGTTGGGACTATGATTTTAGTCCAAAGTCTGGAGTGTAAAAGTCTGGATTACTGAGTTGGAGGTCAGTTTGAGTAATGATAATTCATTAAAGAACAGGGGGCTGGAGAAAAAGTTCAGTTTTCACCGAAATCCGAATTTGACAGTTCGATTTGAACAGATTCCACTGTACTTTCTATTTGTTGTTGCGGGCCTAAATGTCACACTGATATACTTCACTGAATGAAAAAAGGAATGGATCCTGGTCTCCATGGAGGAGGAACTCCCGAAGTGTCTCCAGGGCCACACAATCTCATTGAAGCGACAAACCAAGTTCTTGAGTTTGATTTAATTTCCCACCTGCGTGGTGTACATTCAACACGCCTAATAGAGGATTTAATTGCTGTCTACCTTTCCATGGGACATGACATTTAAACAGCGTCCCTTTACGACCGTCTTGATACTTTCATGTGATTGGATTTGTTGAAGGCGTTCAATACGATGAAAGAATCACCCTATTTCACAGTTTTCAGTGTCTGGCATTTTGGTCATGGTTCTCCGTGGTGATTAATGTCTTGTTTAATTAATGACTATAAATACCATTTGTTTTGTGAGCGGTCAGAGGCTACTGCCATTTTAATTCCAACCAATTAGGTTGGTGATCGGTCAAGTGACTGTGATTTCAGGTGTCCATGGGTCATGTTTCACCTCAATTATCTTCTCCTGTTTCGGTGCTCTTCTGTCTAGGAGGTACAATGTATTTCTATTTCTTGTTTTGACTGGAAACAAAGCTACGCTTCCTTCATGGATATCTGTGATGTGTCAAGCTCCGGACAGCTAATCAGCTGTGTTATTTTGCAGGCCAGCACCGATGGGAATCTTCCCCTCGCAAATTAAATGGAAATTAATTCAGTTTATGTCCGTAGTCTCGAGGGTATAAAATCATATTAAGCATCTTTCTTTTATTTCTGAAATGATGATGGTATTATTCAGCTTGTAACATAAAAATAAATGTGTGGAAAGATATTTTATGTTTGAGTTCATATGGAAGTCTAATAGGATTAGTTTGCTCCAGTTTGTTGTTCATGCATGCAGACAAATTATTATCTATTTCACAAAAGTATTAAATCATTGAGTACGTCCAGTCTGATAATTGCAACATGTAAACATTTTAGTGGACATTTAAGTAATGACAAAATGGAAAATCAGAGTATGGAAATACTGAACAAAAAAGGTAATTGATCATGAATATTTTACGGGATATTTTTTTTGTAGCGAAGATTGAGTTTGTGTACAGTTTATAAAAATACTTCATGATCCTTAAATATTTTTGTTCAGTATTGATCAGAACAACTCAAATCATGCTTCAGATAATTCTCAAGAAGCTCACTTGACTGCAGTTAAAATAGCATCTCTTCTTCTTGATACAATTAATCTGAAAGTTCAAAACATTTATTTTAGATCACCAAGAAATGACATTACTGCCAGTGATGCTTAACTTTACTCGCTCGACCATTGCAAAGTGTAGTACCGTATTCGACGTAATAAGTGCCCCGCTCTAATAAGCGGCCACGGTAACATTTGCTAATATATTGTCAGGTGAACAATCCCAATTAGCACCCCTTCCGATTCATCAATGTACACAAGACTTATTTATTATTATTTATACATACTCGTGTGTTATGTGCACCCTTAATTATGGGCAATTAAATTCTGGAAGAATATATCTGTCGTACATAAACATTTCAGCATAAACCATGAAATTCATCTTTCAATTCTGTTTTTTTCACCAAAATAATATTCTAATAAGAGCCCCTGTTTTTAATTTTGAGAGCGCCCTGGGCGCTTATTATGTCGAATAAGGTATGTTTATTGCCACATGTATGATGTAAGTGTCTGTTTGTCATGGGAGATTGTGGGGTTAGTCTAATGGTTGAGGTGATGACTATGGACACACTGAAGACCTGGGTTTGATTTCCACATTGCTTAAAACATGTCCCCACTGTGGAAAATTACTAAAAGTAGGGTAATACCAACCCACTCAGTGTGTATCGTCAGGAGAGGACCTGTGAAGATCTGGGGAAGAATAGGTCTTCAGCAGCCCATACTTGCCGTAAAAGGCGGCTATGCTTGTAGTAAGAGCCTACTAATGGGATCGGGTGGTCAGGGTCACTGACTTGGTTCATGCATGTCATTGTATTACAATTGTGTGGATCGATGCTCATCATGTCAATCACTGTATTGTCTAGTCCAGACTCGATTATTTACAGACTGCTGTCATAGCTGGAATATTGCCGAGTGCTACTTTAAGCAACAAAGAAACAAAGAAAGAAAAGTCAGGAGAGCTTGCTGTATGTAACGGTGTTGATTGTGTTTCAGATCTGTGTGTGATGAGTGCCACACCAGGTGAACCAGCCTTTCTGCCCACCCCTCGCAACATCACCGTCATGGTCGGCCAACTGGCAAAACTGCCCTGTCGGATTGAAAACCTGGGATCTAAAGATGTAAGTACGATGTCTTATCAAGTAACAGAGTTACACAAATAGTGCACACATCTGAAATAATCTCAGTGGATGTGTATCATGGTGAAGTATTATCCAATAATTACCTCCTTGCACTATGAAGACTCACCTCTTGAGGAACTGGATGTGGTATCAAATGGAAAATTAAGAGTCACTCCAGGCTTTCCTCCCACAAGCTGATGCACTGTAACTTAAATACAGTTAAAACCCAAATTACTTACTCTCTCATTCCCTGAAAAAAGTTTTTTACATGAAATTTATTTTTTAGTTGAACACCTTAGTAAAAACACCTTCATTTATAACAGAGGTTTATTCCAAACATGTCATTGTTTGAAAATGATAAATTAGTCCATATTAATTGGTAAAGTAAGTTGAAATCATTTGGAGTGAGTGAGTGAGTGAGTGAGTTTGGTTTTACGCCGCTTTTAGCAATATTCCAGCAATATCACTGCGGGGGACACCAGAAATGGGCTTCACACATTGTACCCATGTCGGGATTCGAACCCAGGTCTTCGGCGTGATGAGCAAACGCTTAAACCACCAGGCTACCCGACCGCGCCTGAAATCATGTGGTCTGTGAATAATGGTATAATGTGATAGCAACACAGGCACAGCCATGTTGAACAGTTGTACACATATCAATTATTCATGCATGCTAAAACAGTTTTCAAGTGATGTTCCACACTAAACATTACCCTATATTGATTATACAAGAAATATGAGGCACTAGTCACAATACATCATATCTTGTTACTAGTTTACCGACACAACAGTGGTATATTCTTCACAAACAGCTGACAGGTGGCTTACCGTGGTCTCACTGAACATTACATATGCTTTGTTAATGTGATCTCCCTCAGGCTAAAACTCCGACTTCAAGTTGATGTTAGCCAACACTGTCCCCCCTGCCCTAGGGCCTCCACTTCCCCCACCACTAGAGAGATGATAGCCAGCAGGTGGGGGTCAACCCCTGCCTGCACACACAATACAACATGTGCTCTAGGAGCTCTGTGCTTCCTATTAATGGTAAGGAGATAGGCCCTTATTCTGAAAGCCATCGGGCTTGCTTCAGGGAGAGATACACTGCCATGTTAGCAGATGGTGTTAGAGAAAGGATAGCCTTCTTAATTTGTTTGAGAGTTGTTGGAATTAGGATTTAATGATGTAGCGGTATTGTTCATTAGCATCCTTGATGGTGTCTTGGTTACTGACGAGTTTGAAGCTTCTGGTGAAAGTGGCCATATTGGTGTTTGAACTTCATGTGTCCTCACGTTACCTATCAGAGATCTTAGCATGAATAGAAGGATTGTGTAAGATTTTTCACCATGTTCTTAACATTGCTGCCATGAGAAAAGCTACATCAACTTTACTTGTTACCCCTTTGTGGGAATAGAACTCACATCCTTTGTGTTGAGTGAAAGCACTAACCACTGGCCCATCTTCAATAATATTGATAGAGGTTATGATATTGGGGGACTTGAATGCTTTGGTGTGTTGATTGTGAACTCCCCACCCAATTAAGCTCAATTGAATCTGCTTGATTAATGTCTCCGCTGCTAGCTAGCAGGTGTTGTCTCGTTGTCTCGCAGGAGACACTGTTTCCTGTGCTGCCCGAATCTAGAGTGATGTCTTTTAAAAAAGCAAGAACAGTAGGATCCTGATCCACTCAGAGCAACTAGACTGAGAACCACTTTGTGACTTGTCTGTCGCGACTAATTAATTTCACTCCATTAAAGATCCCAACCATTTAGATGCCAAATGGAAGCTATCTTTAGAAGAGGAGCCATTTAACAAGCAACTAAAACATATCAGTATTTCGACACTTTTCTCCACCCTCCAGCCCATCCTATAAGCACTTTGAACTCGGAAAGTCTCTGAGAGATTGTAAGAGAAAAGAGAAGTTCTTTTAAAGAATGAGAGTTCTTCTCAAAAGCTGTAAATTATTCACAATCATGCTCAGGTTTTATGCCTACACCACTTTATAGCTAGACGCCACGAAGTGTTGCTAATTTTGTGAAATTCTGTTTCTATTGGGCATTTGCAATGGCTACTTTGATGTGGAATTGAAATTGAACTGGAATATGAAACGACAGACAACCCAAATATAATGATGACATTAAAGTCAAGACGGAGTCCCTCCAAGACTCCACTGTGGCTCGCAATGTTTTCAAACCTCTCATTGAAAATTACCAATTTGCTAAAAATTTAAATTTTGTAATTTTGTGTGTTTTGTACATAGTAGTTGCTCACTGATGTAATCCTCAATTGACAGCATCATGTGCACGTGATTTAGTTCCCTGCATTTTTTTGTTCATTACTCAGTAATGAAAAAAATCTTGTTCAATACAAATACCATCTTCCCAAGGCAAGCAAATTTAGTTGTGTAACTTGAGATGGGCTTCAACGTCATCGGCTGGGTTCATGATAAGATAAATTTGTCTTCAGTCAAGATTGACGTTATTATTACAGTCTGATAAGAAGGTACAAGAGGTTCTCGTTGTATGTGACATGTTTTGTAAGAACTGTCATAACCTTGCCTATTTTAATAAGAAACCGTTATGTTATGTGCCAAGCATGTAAATACATTAGATATTGTGAACAGTCAACTTGTAAACAAACAGATGAAAACATGATCTTGCGGGAGACATGAAAGACGCAGTTAGGACAATATATACCGGTAATCTGTAGCAGGCTTTTGCCATTGATGTGTAATCGGATTTAGATTATTTTCAACTTCTACAATACAAATGTTACTTTTTAAGTAATTACCATTCCACTGAACCAAAGGAAAGAGTTTGAATAATCACCAAGCATCAGTGTTTCTTGTCAATCGTTATTCTTGAATTTAAGTTGACTAAACCTAGGATCTATTTCTGCTTTCGATGGCCTTATGTTTGATTTAGAGGGGACGTCATGATAAATTTTCCTAAACCTTCTTGATCCTCTCTAAAGTGCTATTGTGGATTTCAACAAACCACAATACACTCACAGAAATGGAAGCCAGCACTTTGAGTGGGTTCTATTTCGGTCAGCTCTTCTTGTCAAGGGGGCCAGCAAGTAGTAAACTATGTTGCTTGATCAAATACTTCGGCGAGCTAATCCAATCACCTGCCCAGTACCAACCAGTTACATCAGCTCAAACCAATGTGCTTCTAAAAATTAACTCCGGAAGGTCAGGGGCTGTTTCACAAAGTGACCGTAAGTCTCAAAAGACAGCGTAGGTCTATTGAATTGTATTGAATGACTGGAGTTAAGTTGTAGCGACTTCGTACAACATTAACCACGTCCACTACGTGTAACGTTTTCAATTGTGTATAGTCGTCTTCATACCACTTACTATGTATGAATCACTCTCAAGTAGCTGCCATGTACCAGATACTTGTAACTGTTCAGTCTGCCGTTAAGGGCCATTCAGTCTATCATCAAAGACAATTATGGGAGCAAATTAATTGTGGTGGGGGAAATATGAGCAAGTTTCTCCCTAGTCAGGTCCGGCCACTGGTGGCAGGCATGCATGCAAACACTGTGGCATGTCACCATCAACAAAATGTGTCCAGAAATCAGATTTGAGTGGACAGGAAAGGGGTTGGTGGGAGGGAAATTATCCATTGAGTGTAAACACTTATTGTTGATATTCATTGGTGGCAGACTTGAAGTTGCTTGAGGAGCAGACGGTCAATCTGTCCAACTCTGCCCATCTGTGGACTTGGGTCAGACATCAAGCAGTTCTGCCTCTTTGTTGATGAATGTTAAAGAGTTGATGAATGTAAAGACTGACACTTTGTCTTCTACAGATACATTGATGAGTTAATTGGCAGAGGAATTGAATTACTTCGTGATGTCGACCATACTCCCTGTACAATTGAAACTATCAAATTAGTATTTGGATAGCCAAGTGGGTAGCCTTGTCACACCAAAGACCTGGGTTTCATTCCCCATAATGGTATGATGCGTGAAGCCTATTGATGGTATCCCCTTGAAATGACTTGAAAATTGCTCAAAGCAGCTTTATACTTTTCCTAGGCCACCCCGCCCTCACTCACTCACTCACTCACTCACTCACTCACTCACTCACTCACTCACTCACTCACTCACTCACTCACTCACTCACATTGACATCCATTGTGCATCATGCAAAGTTACATGGTTTTAATGCATTAATGTTTGAAAGACCTGAGTATTCATGTCATGGGTGTCGTTGCAATGTTTGACTGTTTATGGGACTAGTTATTAAATGATCAGTCATTTTAATTAGCTGTGTAGCCTGGTGTTAACGCATCAAATTGGCTTGTCACACTAAAGACCATGTTCCCCACATGGGCACAATTTGTGAAGCCCATTGTCAGTGTCTCCAACTGTGACATTGTAATTCAAAGGGAACTGACAGACTATTTTAATATCAAAAATGCTTAATAGCTTAACAAATGTGTGAAGTATTGGTCCATTGTCATACATGATTAGAAGAATGAGACATTATTTACGACTCTGTCATGTCCAACAATAAATCAACAACCAGTGACATTTTTTTTTACATATTTCCTACTCACTAAGGCTCTGTGTTGTAGGTTATCATTAGAGCACTCCCCGTGGGTTGGGTTGAAAATGTACAACCTCAAGCGAGGGACTAGTGAGGGCTGAGAAGGAGTGTTGTAGCTAAATTATGAACTAAATGCTAGAAGTACCAGCAAGAATAGGAAAACATTGGGATGCCTGATTGTGAAACAATACACATAGTGGAAAAACATGAATTTGATGACAGCATGCAATTCAGATGTAAAACCTCCAGGCAGGTCTTACAATTCAGATGTAAAACCTCAAGGCAGGTCTTACAATTGAGATGTAAAACCTCCAGGCAGGTCTTACAATTGAGATGTAAAACCTCCAGGCAGGTCTTACAATTCAGATGTAAAACCACCAGGCAGGTCTTACAATTCAGATGTAAAACCTCCAGGCAGGTCTTACAATTCAGATGTAAAACCTCC